TTGAAGCCCACCTTGCGGCTGCCTGCCGGGGGGCTTCCGTGGCAGCCTCTGATGATAGCGCACCTCAACTCACACTGTTTATTTCCAAAGCCACACGCGCCCAACAGCGTCTAAAGGCGTATAGCATCAACCCTATGTCGATTAACGAAACCTGGTTTCGACCATCGAGGACCAACAAAATAATCAGGGCGTGATATCTTTTGTAGAGATAAACTGAGATAACATACTGGAGCGAGGGTAGGGTAGTTTCCCTTCAAGGAAAGGAAAACTCTCAGTCTCCTCTATGTTTGAAAGAAAGTAGGTCAAATCAGGGGAAATACATGTTTTTTTTTTGGAGTGTTTAAACTGCAAGTTAAGCCATCCTTAGTGCTGAAACCTGTTCTGTGGATCTACGCCCCTGTGGTGGCGGCTTCATGACCATCACACGAGAGAGATTCAAATCTCTACAGAATCACTATAAAACTCACCGCCGCCCAACCCACAGCACCGGTTCAGAGTGCAAAGCGTCTGGGTCCAGAGGCGTGTGGATCAAAATTCCTGTGACATGACCGGCAGCTTAATTCGGTCACGTGACAGTACCACAAGCTCGATCGTATTTAAGACAAAATGAAAATCAAATCATGTTCTGGCACTGCACATTGCACAAATTAAGCCGCCAAGTAAAAATATTGATATCAACAGAGCTAAAACCTCAGATTTAAAAAAAGCTTTTATATTTCTAGGACATCAGTATGAAACCGTATTTCTGGAGAAAAAAGGCATAAGATTAGGACAAACTTAAAATTGCGGAACAAAGCAGAACGTATATTATCGAGACAACAGCGACAATAAAGCACCGAACAAACTGATACCGAAATTCTCCTTGCTTGAAAATGGGGAAGGGTCTTATAACCCTCGAATATAATCATCAAAATGAGGTCAAAAACGAAGAAAGTTACCCCATATCTATTTAAGGGTGTCAGCCCTTTTTCACAACCGACTTGTGAAACAAATTACAAAACAAAGATTTGAGCGTGCGCTCGCGATTTTAGGAGCAAGATCACCAGTGGGCCGGAGTTGCAGTTTCCATCGAACCGAGCGGCGTTGGCCGCCGCAGAAAATATCAGACATCAGTCATCGAGGGTGTGCGAGAACGACCCTCGTGAAATAATTTCTCCGAAGGTGTTTCAAAATCGGTTTGCATTGTTCAAAGACTAAACCGAGCATTTCAGCTGCAAAATCTTGAGGCTGGCCTCTAAACAGCCTAATGGCTACAGGAACATAAAAATACAGATTTTCCGTTCGCTTTCCAGTTTCACCACTAGATTCCAAAACCTTTTCACGGTGCTGTAATTAATTACTCTTTCCCATTGCCAGTATAAATATCGTAGAAATGAAATTCGCACGGTCCGGCTTTTAAACGTGCAAATAATGTCCCAAATGGCCCAAAAAAACTTCTTTCAAGTGCGTCATCGATTTTTTTCCGCCTGTTGGCCACCGCCTAGTATAAGTTTTGTGTTATGACAATTAAGCGCGCATGTGTATAAGTAGCTGAGCTAAGTTTTGGTAGTTGTTTTTAAATTCTGATTGACGATTGCATATTCCCAAGCAAATGAAGGTTGGCAATGTCAAAATGCAGCTTTGATCTCCTTTTGATCTATATTCTTGCTTGACAGAACCCTCAATATCCATCTGTTTAGAACACTGCAAAGAATCGGCGAAGATTCCAGTTGGTCTATTGGTTTATGAGGAGTCCACTGCGTCATTGTAAAATTCATAGCCTGGTGGCTTATTCCATGAAGCCATCTAACACCTGGCAATAACCGTGGTTTGATTTTTTTAGCCTGTCTTGTACCTTACGACTTCATGGCATCGTGCAGAGGTGCACAGGGATGCCGCTTGCACTATTGCATCATGCGTCATCATATCGTTGTATATGCCATCATATTCCTTGTCTTATTATATCATCCAATAAACACTCATGCAAAGGATTGTGATCCATCCTTCACCTTAAGACAAAATATGTGACCACTACTTTTGGTACCTGGATCTCTAATATACTGAAGGAAGTTAAACGAAACATAAGGTGAATCTAGCGCACCCAGAAAGAGCTCATGAAAGCTGAATACGCCCTGGTCTTTAAAAAGGTCTGTATAAAAGGAGGTGTTCTGAAAACTTTTACCAACATGCACATATACATACATATGATATGTATATCCATATAGATATATACAGATGCTACCAGTGGAAAGAGAGAGAGAGAGAGAGAGAGAGAGAGAGAGAGAGAGAGAGAGAGAGAGAGAGAGGTAGAGAAGAGAGAGAGAGAGAGAGAGAGAGGAGAGAATGGGGGAGAGATATAGTATATATATATATAATATAAATATTTATATAGATTTATATGTATATAATATACTATATATATATATATATATATATATTACGTAATATTATATATAATATATAATATATATATATATATATATATAGATAATTATATATATAAATATTATAATATAAAAGCGTATATAT